GGGAATATGCATTTAACAGAAGTTTCAGTTGATTTTCAAGATTAATTGAGGTTCAGTATTGTAGTGGCAAGAGGTACAGCATTAAATTATCTTTCAACTGGGCTTAGTGGTGCACATTTGTAATCTCAGCACTCAGAAGGTGGAAGCAGTCACTGGGAGAGATGACTCAGCAGAGGACCAGGGTTCAATTCCCAGCACCCAAATGGCAGCTACCAACCATCCATAGCTCTAGTTACAGGGGAATCCGACACTCTCTTCTGGCCTCCATAGACATTGCACACTTACATACATGCAGGCAATACGCCTGTACACATATACACAAAATTAAAAAATCATTAATAAAATATTTTTGTTTTGTAGACTGAATCAAGTGCACCCTTACTGGTTAACCATACCCTCTTTTTCTATTTTCTTATTCTATTTTATTTTATTTTGATCTTTTTTTTTTTTTTTGATCTTTTTTTTTTTTTTTGATCTTTTTTTTTTTTTTTGATCTTTTTTTTTTTTTTTGATCTTTTTTTTTTTTTTTGATCTTTTTTTTTTTTTTTGATCTTTTTTTTTTTTTTTGATCTTTTTTTTTTTTTTTGATCTTTTTTTTTTTTTTTGATCTTTTTTTTTTTTTTTGATCTTTTTTTTTTTTTTTGATCTTTTTTTTTTTTTTTGATCTTTTTTTTTTTTTTTGATCTTTTTTTTTTTTTTTGATCTTTTTTTTTTTTTTTGATCTTTTTTTTTTTTTTTGATCTTTTTTTTTTTTTTTCGGTCTTTTTGAGACAGGGTTTCCCTATAGCTCGAGCTGTCCTGGAACTCACTATTGAGACCAGGCTGGCCTTGAACTCCCAGAGATCTGCCTGCCTCTGCCTCCGGAGTGCTGGGATTAAAGGCATGTGCCAGCACGCAAGCGGCTTTTTTTGAGACCAGGTTTCCCTGTAGCCCCGTGCATGTATGTGTGTGCAGGTGCCCACAGAAACCATAGAGGGCCTCAGATTGCCTGGAGCTGGAGGTGGTTGTGAGTCACCTGACATGGGTGCTCGGAACCCAACTCAGGTCCTCTGGAAGAGCAACAGATGCTCCTAATTGCTGAGCCATCTCTCCAGTCCCAAGTTTTTCTTTTAAGCTGTAATAAAATTGTCCTCAAATTTAAAAAATTAAAAAATAAATAAAGCAAACAAATGTATAAATAAACTGCTTCTTTTGCCAAGCTTGGTGGTGCATACCTGTAATCCTAGCACTGGGGAGGCTGAGGTAGGAGGATTGGGAATTTGAAGCCAGCCTAGGCTATATAGTGATACCCTGTCTTAAAAAACAAAATTGGACTAGGAACATGGCTCAGCAACCACACTGACAATCTTCAATTCAATCCACTCCATAGAAAAGAACCAGTTCCTGCAAGTTGCCTCTGACCTCCACACATGTGCCATGCTATGTGCATGCCCAGAGAGGAAGAGAGAGAAATAAGTAAGTAAATAAATGTAATTTTTTAATTCCCAAAAATTATATTAAAAAATTAAAATCTGCTCTGCTGCCCCTCACTTTCAGGTTTTTTGTTTGTTTTTGTTTGTTCAGCTTTTTTGGTGGTAGTGGTGGTGGGTTTGGGGGTTTGGTTTTGTTTGCTGTGCTGGGATTGAATCTAGGGCCTCACACACGCTAGGCAAGCAGCCCTGTTTCTGATCTACACCACCAACGCTCAGCCATGATTTGATCTGATACACATTTCTGGAGAGACGCTCATGGTTGCAGAACTGCTTTGAGCTGCCCCCTAGCGGTGATTCATGGAAGGGCAGACTGCACTCAGCTGGGAGGAGAGCCTAAGGAACTCCAAGCACAAGGCTCTGGGATTTCTGAGAGGAAACTGAGGAACTGGGACCTAGTCCAAACAGCACATGACTACAGAGACCCGTCTTTCATGTAAATGCGTGTCTCTGCATATTTATACGGGGTTACTATATATGGGGTTACTATATGGCTCACGTGACATTTTTAGATATACACCTCAAAGAACTGAAAACATATGGCCATACAAAAAATGTGAACATGACAGCTTCCAATTGTGTTGGAGGAAATATCTGAACAATGTTAAGTGAGAGCAGTAATGTGCTCATGTCTTGCTTCTGGCTTTCACGTTCTAAAGCTGATAGGATTTGTAACCATGAAAATTATGCTGATTTATATATTTGAAATAAATACAGCCATATTAAGAACATCTACATTAATATTCATAGAAGCCTATGAATACCCCCAAAGTGGAAGTAAAATCCATCAGATGATGAAGGGTTAAAAGCTGGTATACTGGGCTGGCAAGATGACTCAGTGGAAAAGGTGCTTGCCATCAAGTCTGACAACCTGAGTGTGATCCCCAGCACCCACAGGGTAGAAAGAGAGGACCAACTCTCCTCTGACCTCCACTTGCATGCTGTGACACACTCACTCCAACTCCCACAGAATGAATAAATAAATGGTTTTTTGCGGGGGAGTCTTTTTGAGACAGGGTCTCCCTGTAGCCCCCCCCAGCTGACCTGGAACTCCCTATGTAGACCAGGCTGGCCTCAAACTCACAGAGATCGCCTGCCTCTGCCTCCCAAGTGCTGGGATTAAAGGCGTGCGCCTCCATGCCCAGCCCCAGATAAATGTTTTTTTTTTTTTAATTGTAGGCACTGGAAAGATGGTTTAGCATTTTAGAGCACTGGTTGCTCTTCCAGAGGACCTGGTTTTGCTTCCCAGCACCCACATGGCAGCTAACAACTGTCAGTAATCGAGGTCCAGGGGATCCAATGCTCTCTTCTGGCTTCCATGGGCATTGCACACATGGGTACTCACACATACAGGCAGGCAAAACGCTCATGCACATAATAAGTAAATAAATAATTACAAAAAAAATTTTGGTTGTTAGCCCGAGGCTTTAACACCCAAGCCATCCCTCCAGCCCATAAATACAAAATTTTAAAAATTAAATCAGGTATGTTGATATAATTGTTTTGTTTTAGTCTTTTTGGTCTTTTTGAGACAGGGTCTCTTGGTAGCCCCAGCTGACCTGGAACTCCCTATATAGACCAGGCTGGCCCGGAACTCAGAGATCCACTTGCCTCTGCCTCCTGAGTGCTGGGATAAAAGGCATGAGCCACCATGCCCCATCTTGTATGTTGATATAATTGAACACAAATTATAGAGGAGGAAAAAATGAGTACAGATTAATGTTATGTGCTAAATTATATATCTGCAAAATTCCTATGTAGAAATCTGAAGCCCCAGTACCTTAGAAGGTACCTTCATCTAGAAGCAGGTCTTTAAAGTGGTAGTTAAGGCTGGGTGTAGTGTTGTATGCCTGCAATTCCATCTCTCTAGAGGTAGAGTGAGGAGGCCTGGTTGGAGGTTGCAGTAAGACCCTAAATAAAGGTGAGGGGGGGACAGACCCAAATAAATAAAAAATTTTTTTGTCTTTTTTTTTTTTTTTGAACAGGGGCTCCCTGTAGCCCCAGCTTGCCTGGAACTCACTGTGCAGACCAGGCTGGCCTTGAATTCACTGAGATCCACCTGCCTTTGCCTCCTGTGTGCTGACATTAAAGGCATGAGACACCACTCCTGCTATAAATAAAAATTTTAAAATGACACATTATCTGATTTCCTTTATGTAAATGTCTACAGAAGACAAGCTATTCCTGGACCTGGTAGCATAGGCCTGAAAGCTCAGTACTTGGGAAGCTGAGGCAGGGGGATGAAAAATGTAAGGATTGCCAGAGCTACAGAGTGAATTCAAGGCCAGCCTGGGCAACTTAGTGTGACCATGTCTCAAAATAAGAACATTTAAGGGGCTGGATATAGTGAAGCACGGCTTTAGTCCCAGCATCCACATGGCTGCTCACAACTATCTGTAACTCTGGTTCTAGTATATCTGACACTTTTCTGGTCTCTGCAGGCACCAGCACACATGTGGTGTATGTACATACATACATGTAGGCAAATACTCATACACATCCAATAAAAATAATGAATCAAAATAAAACAACAAAAACACAAACATTTAAGGGGCTCAGTGGTGGAATGGGAGCGCTTGCCTAGCATGTGAGAGGCACTGGTTTCAAACTCCCAAACCAGAAGATTTTAAAAAAGGAATGAAAACAAAAGAATGTAAACCACAAAGGAAGAAAGATTAGAAGTTGCCTACAGTTGGTGGGGAGAAGGGGAACATCGTTCTTGGACTGCTGTTTTTTTCTGGGGAGATGAAAAAGTTCTAGAATTAGACAGTTATGATGATTAGATTGCACAATAAATATACTAAACTCTGAGTGATTCTCTGCTTTAAAAGGGTTTTATATAATGTATGAGTTATATCATGCTGGACAAGTGCTCTACCACTGAGCCACATCCCCAGGCTGGCCCCAATATGTAAGTGAGGATAACCTTGAACCTCTGGTCCTCTTGCCTCCACTGCCCTGCTGCTGGGATTATAGGTGTGAGTCACAATGCCTGGTTTCATGTGTTGCTGGGGATTGAACCCAGAGCTATGTGCATGCCAGGCAAGCACTCTATCAACTAAACTACATCCCTAGCCCTAACATTCTTTTTATTTATTTTTATGTCTGTGAATGTTTTACCCAAATGTAAGTGCACCCATGTGTGCAATGCCTGTGGAAACCAGAAGAGAACATTGGATCCCTCTGGAACTAGAGTTACTAATGGTTGTTAGCTACCATGTGTGTACTACAAACCAACCTGAGTCCTCTGTAAGAACAGCAAGTGCTCTTAACCACTGAGCTCTCTCTCCAGCTCCATAGCCTTTAAATTCTTCTGAGGCAGGGTCTTACTAAACTGCACAAACTATACTGGAATTTATACTCCTCTTGGCTCAGCCTCCCAAGTAGTTGGAATTACAGGCATGTTCCACCATGCCCAGCTCCATAGCATCACTTTTACCCCCCTTTTCCCAGGTGATGTGTTGTTCGCTTCCCTCTATGTCTTGTTTCCTCCTAGGATTTGAGTATTTATCCCCTACAAACTCATGTTGAGAATTTTTTTAATATGGAATAAATTTTCGTGTCATCCATGTGCAGGGGCCATGCTAATCTTCTCTGTGTTGTTTCAATTTCAGTGTACGTGCTGCTGAAGCAAACATGAAATTTTTTATTATTTTATTTCTTTATTATGGGAGGTATGCATGTGCCACAGCACATATGTGGCAATCAGAGGAAAACTTGCAGGGGTTGATTCTCTCTTTTCACCCAGTGGGTTCTGGGAATTGAACTCAGATTGTCAAGATCAACGGTAGGCTTTCTTACCTGCTGAGCCATCTCTCTGGCCCTCATGTTGAAATTTAATGGCTGTTGTAATGGTACGGAGACTAGGACTTTTCAGAGGTATGCAATCATGAGAGATCCACTGTCATGAGTGAATTAATGCCAAGTGGGTTTGTCTCTGTATTGCTCTCTTACCTTCACTTTAACCTTCTGCTATGTGCTGCTTTCTGCTATGCTATGACACAGAAAGAAGGCCCATGCCAGATAAAAGTACCAGCCTCGAGAACCTTAAGCCAAAACATTTCTCTTCTTTATAATCACCCAGTGTGTTATCAGCTTTCCATTACTGTAACAAAAGACCTAAGACAAGCAACTTAATAAAAGGAGTTTTTATTTGGGTGCTCAGTTTGCAGCATGACAGTCTATAGTCATTTGACCCTGGAGCTTTGGGCGTGAGGCAGTATAGTACATCATCATGGGAGCATGTGGCAGAGGAGGTGTGTTGTCATCATGACATCCAGAGAGCAAAAAGAGAAACAGGAAAGTACCAGGAGCACTGCCCCCCACCAGTGACCTAACTTCTCTCTCTCAATAACCACACCTTAACACATGAAAACATGGACTTTTTTGGTGGGGGGTTCTCCTGTAGCCCCAGTTGACCTAGAACTCAATATGGAGACCAAGCTGGCCTCAATCTCACAGAGATCTGCCTACCTCTGCCTACCTCTGCTGAGATTAAAGGTGTACACCACCACGTCTGGCTTAACACATGGGCTCATATTCCAGACCCAAAATTGTATCAGCCAATCTCAGATCCTCTGCTGTAGCAATGTAAAATAGACTGAGCCACGCCTCAACTTACAACCTACCTGACTGGGGGGAAAAACTTGCTAATTTGGAACTTGCTGGATAGGCCAAACTAGCCTCAAACTTGTGACAAACTTCCAGTTTATCTGAGTACTGAGATACAGGCATGAGCTACCACATCCAGATGGAAGGGGCTTTTTCTAGAAAACAGTTCCTGTCTCTCAAGCCCTTCCTGGGTATCAGCCAAGATGCTATATGCATTTTCTCAGGCAATCTTCCTAACAGCACACTATTAATCTGTTAAATAGGTCCCATTATTTTCACTCCCACTTACTATATGACAAAGATGTGGTCAGTGAGTTGGAGTGACTTGCCAGGGGCATGTGGCAGAGTCCACAGTGGAGCATGTAATTTCTTCTCAGCCCTTGTTCATGTTTAGTCAGTGAGGCCCACAGCATTGGAGGTGCTCTACTAAGGAAGATGTGTTGGCTCAAACTAATAACCCGGGGTCATTTCCAGCCTTCATAGCAGGGTTCCTTTTTCTTTTTTTCCAACTAATATTTAATTCCCACCAGAGATGATAGTTTTTCTTTCTTTTCTTTCCTGTGAAATTCACATGATAAGGGGCTGGAGAGACAGCTCATCAGTTAAAAGCACTGACTGCTCTTGCAGAGGACCTAGGTTCGATGCCCAGCACCCACATGGCAGCTACAAACTGTCCTTAACTCCAGTTCTAGGGGAATCCAAAGCCTTCTTCTGACCTCCGTGGCACTGTACGACATGGGTGCACTCACATGCAGGTAATAGACTCATACACATAAAATAAAAATATTAAAATATTAAAAAAAAATAAAATAAGCTGGGTGTGGTGGCACACACCTTTAATCCCAGCACTCAGGAGGCAGAGGCAGGAGGACCTCTGTGAGTTCAAGGCCAGCCTGGTCTACATAGTGAGTTCCAGGACAGCTGGGGCTACAGGGAGACCCTGTCTCAAAAAGACCAAAATAAATAAAAAGTAAATAAATCAATCAATAAAATAAAATAAATTCACATGGTGAGCGGAGAGTAGTGCCTCAAGTTTGTAGTTCCAATATTTGGGAGGCTGAGGGCGGAGGATGAGGAGTTCAGGTTCATCCTCAACTACATATTGAGTTTGAGGCTAGTCTAGACTACATAAGAGACCTTGTCCCCCCCCCCAAAAAAAAAAAGAAAAAGAAAGAGAGAGAGAGAAAAAGAAGGAGGAAAGGAAGGAAGAAGGGAAGGAAAAAAGCTGTCAAGATAGTACAGTGGATTAAAGGTGCTTCCTGACAAGCCTGAAGACCACATGGTGGAAGGACAGAACTGACTCCCACATGTTGTCCTTTGATCTCCACATGCTCATCGTGACACACATGTGCCAACACACATACATAAATAAAAATGAAAAAAAGAAAGAGAAAGTCACATAGTGGGACAATGTCTTAGTACGTGGAAGCCCCTCAGGAAAGTCACAACTCTTCCAGGGTGATGGCTCTAGACTTCAGCAGAAAGATGAGAGGCTGATCCACTGGGAACGGTGATGTTTCTGAAGGGTTCAGCTGCTGATTCTCCAGAGGGAGTGAGAGATTTCAAAGCAAGAGTTTGTAGAGACAGAGACTCCTGGTGACAGTGGCCAAGAACCAAGACATTTGGTTTGAGTCCACCAGAGAAGGCGTTCCAGCTGGAAACAATGGAATGGGCTGAGACCTGGGGGAGACACCTGAGGATCAACTTGGGAACAGCCAGGAACCCTCTTCCTTAGAGGCTGAATTCATTTTTCTTCTTCTTATTTCTCCTCCTCCTCCTCCTCTTCCTCCTCCTCCTCCTCTTCTTCTTGAGACAGGGTCTCCCTGTAGCCACAGCTGGCCTAGAACTCACTCTGTAAACCAGGATGGCCTCAAACTCACAGAGATCTGCCTGTCTTTGCCTCTGAGTGCTGGGATTAAAGGCATGTGCCACCACACCCAGGTTAGAGGCTGAATTCAATGATGGCCCCCAAGATTATACCTAGTAATATTCAAGTCCTACCCCCTCCTCTCAAGTAGGGGCAAAATCTCTGGGTTTGCTAGGCCAGTACTCCTGAGATCAGCCTTCCAACTGGCATACTTTGAGTTCATCTGATAGCATGATGTGTACATTTTGAGTTTCGTTCACATTTCCTGGCTCATAACTCCCTTAGGCCTTGTCATTTGCTATATGACTAGAACAGTAAATGTGTCTTACCCAAGTATTTATCCTTGGTTCCTGGAACAGCTTCAGAACAATTTCAGAGTGCTAAAGGAAAAAGATAGTCTTTTATTATAATGTTGGGGCAGATGCAAGTCTCAAAAAGCATTCTATCTGACCTTCTGTCCTCTTTTTATCAGCTCCTTTTTCTAAGAAATGACGTTCTCTGTCCCCAGGCAAATCACAGAAACTAAAAATACACTCTAATCTTCCTCCACTCTTTTTCTTGGGGCCAGCCATAGAGTTTTCTGACTTAGGTTGTCTGATATTAGATTTTAACACCCTAATTTCAAAAGAGGTGCTGCCCTGTTGTAGTTTGAATCTGAAGTACCATTCATAAATTCATATTTTGAATGACTGACCCCAGCTGGTGGTGCTATTTTGGGAGGCTCTGGAAACTTTGGGAGATGGGCCTTAGCTACAGGAAGTAGGTGTATCCCTGACCACTTCCTGTCTCCTGCACTACTTCCTGGCCAGTCATGATAAACTGATCTGCTTCATCATCCATTCTCTGCTATGACTGGACTGAGCCCTTTGAAATTATGAGCCAAAATAATTTTTTTTCTCCTTTGTTTCTGTCAGGTATTTTGTCACAGCAAGGGAAAAATAACACATGCCCCAGAACTGGCACAGAAAAATCAAGAAGAATCTGGATAGGTCTAGCATAGATCATACTCTTTTTTATCTTACTACATTTTTAAAACTTTTATTTATTTATTTAATCATTCATCCATTTATTTTATTTTTAAGATTTATTTTATCACTGGGCATGGTAACGCACACCTTTAATCCTAGCACCTGGAAGGCAGAGGCAGGGGGATCTCTGTGAATTCAAGGACAGCCTGATCTACATAGTGAGTTCCAGGACAGCTGAGGCTACAGGGAGACCCTGTCTCAAAAAGAAAAAAAAAAAAAAAAAGATTTATTTTATTTATGTGTATATGTGTACCCCACATGTGTGTGGTTTATTTATGTGTATATGTGTACCCCACATGTGTGTGGGGTGCTCTCAGAGGCCAGAAAAGGGTTTTGGGTCCTGAAAGCTGTAGTTATAGGTGGTTGTGAGCCACCCAAAGAAGGCGCTAAGAACTGAACTCTGGTCCTCTGGAAGTCCTCGACAAGTGCTCTTAACTGCTGAACCATCTCTCCAGCATTTATTATACTTTTGAGATAAAGTCTCACTTCAGGGTGGTCTGGAATTCACTAACTAGCCCAGGCTAGTCTCAAACTTGTGCTGTTCTTCCTGTCTCAGCACCTCCAGTGCTGAGATGGTAAGTGTAACTTTTATGACCACATATAACTTAACCAATCACATTTCTCTTCTTTCTGTTTATTTATTTGCTGTACTGGGAATTAAAATTAGGGTCTCAAACATGTTACACAAATTGCATCATCACTGCACTATATACCCTGTCCTTCCAATCATATTCTATACTGTTATACACACAATGATCATGTTTGTGCACTGACAGTTTCATAAGAAACCAGGACAGGGTTCAGAGACCTTCTGGGCTGCTAACAGGTAGAGGCCTCAGGAAAGTGAACAAACACCATAGTGCTTCCCCAAAGTTCTGTGAGCTCCTCTTCCAAACTAACATACTCTGGGAAGGAGTTGTAGAACTCTCCTTATAGGCTGGCTACCCAGCAGGTTGAGGCCTGGACTTGAGACTGATGTCTGAAGTGGAAGCTAGTCTTAGAGCTGATTCTATGTCCAGACAGTTGTCAGAATGGAATTGAATTAGAAGAAACTAAGTTTGTTTTTCAGAGTTACCCTAGGTGGGCCTAACCTACTCAGGTGTTACTTTATTTATTTGGGTTTTTGTGACAGTCTCCTAGTGTAACTCCTGCCCAGCCTGGAACTCTCTATGTAGACCAGACTAGCCTGAAACTTGTGGTGATCCTCCTCCCTCTGCTCCCCAAGTGCTAGGATTATAGGTATGTACCACCATTCCCAGGCTTCTAGAGGTCTCTTTTAAATGAAGAGAGTGAAATGTCAGAGAAATACTCTCCTGCTGGCTTGAAGAAATAAACTGTGGTACTGAGAGAGCCTAGAAAAGCGGGTCATGTGGTGAGGTCACGAGGGTACTGAGAATATTCTTGACTAGTGGCAAGAAAAAAAAACCCAAGACTCAGTTTGAACACCTCCAGGAACTGAATTCTTCCCACAACCTGAATGACCTTAGGGATGATTTGAAGTTCCAGATGAGACCATAGAGCCCACTAACATTGATTTCAGCCTTGTGAGGCCTTGAGCAGAGAATCCAGTCATGCTATGCCTGTGCTTCTGACCCACAAAAACTGAAGGGTGACAGCAGGTTTGTTTTAAGCTGCCTAGTTTGTGAGATGGGCAAGTATTTCCCTTAACCAGGTGAGTCCTCAGAACTGAGGATGTGGTAGAGCCAGAATGGGAGCAAGTAAGTGTGTGTGTGTGTGTGTGTGTGTGTGTGTGTATTACACATGGGTGCAGTGCCTGAAGAGGTCAGAAGCATTGGATCCCCTTTGAGCTGGAGTTACAGGCAGCTGTAAGCTGCCCAATGTGGGTGCTGGGACTGAAACTCAGGTCCTCTACAAGAGCAGTATAAGCTTTTAACTGCTAAGTCATCTCTCCAGCTGTCTACATTATTTTCTGAGACACATATCGCTGAATTTGGAGCTGTTTCGGCTAGGTTGCATGGTCAGTAAACTCCTGGGATCCACTTTTCTCCACACCCCCAGCACTGGGGGTTCAGACTGGCTTTAATATGGATGTTGGGGCTCTGAACTCAGGTCCTCATGTTTGCACAGCAAGCACTTTACCCACTGACCCATCTCCCAGGCCCCTAAATAACCTAATCTTTAAGTCTGTTTTCTTATCTGTAAAATGAAATAGTGGGGCTTCTTCTTTATAAACAGGGGCTCATGTAGACCAGGCTGGGCTTGAACTTGCTATGTAGCTCATGAATTTCTGATTCCCCTGCCACTACCTCCCAGTTCTGGGATTACAGGTGTGTACCATCAGACCTGGTTTATGAAGTGCTGGGGATAGAACCCTAGGCTTCCTGTAAACTAGGCAAGTACTATAGTCTGGCATGGTAGTACATACCTTTAAGTCTAGCACTTGGGTGGCAAAGGCAGGTGGAGCTCTGTGATTTCCAGGACAGCCTGGTCTACACAGGGAGTTCCAGGGCAGCTATGGCTGAGCAGTGAAATCCCGTCTTTTAAATTTTATTTTATCTGTATGAGTATATTGCCTGCATGTGTGTAAGTGCACCTGTGCTGGGCAATGCCCTCTTGGAGGTCAGATGTTGGATTCCCCTGAAACTGGAGTTATGGAAGACAGTTAGTACCATGTGGGTGCTGGGAATCAAACCCTAGTTGTAAGAGCAGTCAGTGCTCTTAACCGCTGAGCCATTTCTCCAGCCCTCCTGTCATTTTTTGTTTGTTTTTTTTAAAATTATGTATGAGTGCATTGTCTGCATGTAGATAGGTGCACCCATGTTGTGCAATGCCGGAGGAGGTCAAAAGAGGGCATCAGATCCTCTAGAATTGGAGTTAAGGAAACTGGTTATTAGCCGCCAAGTGGGTGCGAAGATTCAAACCCAATTCTTCAAGAGCAGTCATTGCTCTTAACCACTGAGTCATCTCTCCAGCCTCTTGAAACCCTGTCTTTAAAAAGTAATCTACCAACTGAGCTACATCCCCAGCCCCTGCCTCATTTTTCATGCTTATGGACTTAAGATGTAATTGTCATAATGTCCCTTAAGCATAGGGAGCTTTTCCCTCATTCATTCCTTTGAAAAAAATTTTTTTTTTGGTTTATTGAGCCAGGAATGGTGACACACAAGGCAGGCGGATCTCTGAGGTCAAGGCCAGCCTGGTCTGAGACAGGATCTCCCTGTAGCCCCCCCGCCCCCCGCCGGCCTGGAACTATGTAGATGAGGCTGTCCTTGAACTCACAGAGATCTGCCTGCCTCTGCCTCCTGAGTGCTGGGATTAAAGGCATGCGCCACCATGCCAGGCTAAAAAATTTATTTTTGAGTGTTTTGCCTGCATGTGTGTAAGTGCACTTCGTGCAGTGGCCACGAAGAACAGAGAGGGCTGAACTGGAGATACGGATGGTTGTTAGCAGCCATGTAGGTGCTGGGAGTCAAACCTGGGTCTTCTGCGAGAACAGTTAATGCTCTCAACCGCTGAGCAATCTCTCCAGTCCCCTTCCCTCATTCATTCTTATTTTTGTCTTGAGGGAAGCACTTCTTTTGGGCTTTCTGTTTTAATATATATATTAAAATATGTAGGTACATATGTATATATAAATTATACTATTTGAGAAAGGGGATCATGTAGCCCAGGCTGGCCCTGAATCCCCAGTCTTTCTGACTCAGCTTCTAGAGGGCTAAGATTACAAGCTTGAGCCACCACACCAGAATTTTTAGTTTTTAGACACCGGCTGCTTAGGCCGGACTAGAACTTCTAATCCTTCCTTACGATTGTAGTATGCACCTCCACGCAAGGCAATGAGGCTGTTTTTATTATAATTTGTCGTTATTCTCACCACAATTCCCGTTTTGTGATTAAAGTCTCCTCTGTGGGCAGACTCGAACACCGACACTGCCCACTGCTCGCCTCTGGCTTTGGTCTCCAGCCGGTCTCCCTTAACTATGGCTGCCCAGGTCAACCCTGAAGTGGTGTGGCACGGCGCAACGCCTGCGTGGTTTGTCCTCAGCGCGCCGCCGTAGCCGGCTCCGAGCTGCGCTTTCCCTCGCTCCCGTCCGGAGGCGCAAGCGCCGCAGTGGGCGGGGCCTGTGCGCTCCGCCCAGCGTGCGTCGAAGCGTGGGTTCCACCCCCACACGCTCTAGAGCCTCCCGGGAGCGCACACCGGCTTTTCCCCATCCCCAGCCAGCGTGCTGTGCTCGCCGTCATGCTCGCTGCTGCCTTGCGTCGGTGCACCGCAGCCGCGGCCGCCCGAGCCGGCCCCCGAGGCTTCCTACACCCGGCCTCGGCCCCTAGCCCAGCCGCCGGTAAGGCTTCACGCCCGCCGCAGCCCGCGCCTGCATGTCCTTGCGGTGACCTGGGCCCCCGCCGCCACTCGAGGTCAGGCTGCCCTGGCGGCCTAGCCTCTGCCCCGCGGGCGGGCATCCGAGCCCGGAGACCGCAATGGGGCCTCGCTGCCGTCTGGAGTTGTGGTGAACTCGAGGAAGCTCCCCAGGCCTCCCTCCGCCACTTCCTGGTACCGGCACCGCGACCCGTCTGTGGTGGACCTGGTGGGGTCGCCGAGGACGGGGCGCACCGCTCCCCCTGGCTTTCGGGGCTGTGACCGCGTCCCTCGCTGACCCTGGAGCCACCTGACCGGGAGTGGCCCCCGCCGGCCCTCAGCGTCTTAGCGAAGGTGACATTGAGCCTCTGGGCGCGCCGGGGCGGCGGCGTTTCCTAACGCAGTACTCCCCCTGCGGGGACACAATACGTTTTTTTTTTTTTCTCAATCGGACCGTTCTCTGTTAGCGTTTTGTGTGTCATCTTCACAACCCTGTGCTGTCAGGTTTGGGACTGTTGAGCCACGTTCCAATTACCCTACATTTAAAATAGACCTACGTGTGTGGTGGTTTCTTGCGGGTTGGAAGTGATCCTGAATGTTGATAGGTGTTAATGTTAAGATTAAGAATGTTAACCGTTTCGAAGATTGGATACCACAGACCCAGGACTGGGTTTACAAACATGGGAAAGCTTTGTGGGTTTGGGTTTGTTGTACCCCGCTTCCCATTAAAATCGAAATTTGATTGCTGGAGTGTGAAATGGGCAGTTTTGTCCCTAGTTTTCCCCGTAGGTGGTCTGGGAGATTTTTGTGTCCTCTCTGTAAACCCCGAACACCCCCTGGACTTGGAGGAACCTGGGCAGCCTTCAAGATGGGCTTTTGCTCTACCACTTAACTACATTCTCAGCCTTACACCGCGCCCCCAGCAGTGTACGTTTTTTTAAATTTTTCGGTTTTTGAGACAAAGGCTCTGTAGCTCAGGCTGGCTTCAACCGTCTAGCCTCCCAAGTGCTGGGATTACAGGTGTGAGCCACCACACCCAGCTCAAGCATACTTTTAATTACTGTAGTTGGATTTGTATGAATATAAAAGTAACTCACATGCTCAAAAATTAATGTTGCTTTGACCGTTTAAACCTAAAGAAATGTTTTTGCTTTATCTTTTGTAATTTATTAGAACCATAAAGGCCAAGTATAGGGTCTTTGTTTTTTTTTGGGGGGGTGAGGTAGTCCAGGCTAGCCTCAAAACTAGTTACACTGGCCTTGAACTGATCTTCCTGCCTATACCATCCAAATCTGAAATTAGAGGCCTGTGCCACCATACCTGGCTTTGGGGTGTATTTAAGAGATTAGATGGGGCTGGAGAGATGGCTCAGTTAAGAGCACTAGCTGCTCTTGCATAGGACCTGGGTTTGGTTCCCAACACCTACGTGGCAGCTAACAATCATCCAGTTCCAGGGCATCTGACGCCCTCTTCTGGATTTCTTGGACATTACATGCACATGGTACACTTATATACATGCAGACAAACACTCATACACATAAAATAATAAATTTCAAGAGACTGCAGATATCAAGTTTTACAGAAGAAACAGAGGCCTACCTTGGGAAGCTTGACTTTTTCATTAATGGTAGAACTATTTTTCCTTTTCTTAGTTACAGTTAATTCGGGCTATCCTGGAGTGTTTTTCAGGTTTTGTGGGGTTTTTTGTTTGCTTGTTTCTTATTTACTTGCTGAAGCAAGAAATGCTATTTAATTTTTTTTCATATAGATAAACATCTTGGAAGGTTTCTTCTTTGTTTTTCAGACAGGGTCTCCCTGTATAGACCCGGCTAGTCTTGAACTTGGTGTGTAGATCAGGCTGGCCTTAAACTCTTCAGCAGTCTTGCTTCTTCCTCCAGGAGCTGTGATTACAGTGGGGTTATCCAGAACTGGAGTTACGGATGGCTGTTGGCTATCATGTGGGTGCTGGAAATTGAACCCAGGTACTCTGCAAGAACAGCCAGTGTTCTTAACTTCTGAGTCATTTTTCCAGCCCCTTGGTTTGGGTTTTTTTGGGTTTTTTGTTTTGTTTGTTTTGTCTCTTTGAGACAGGGTCTCCCTGTACTCACAGGTGGCCTGGAACTCACTGTGTAGACCAGACTGGCCTCGATCTCGGAGAGATTTGCCATGCTGGATTTGGGAGATTTCAGTAATTTTATTTATTTTTGACAAGGAACTTCAGGGGTTTATTGTGCAACAGGGAAAATTTCTGCCCCCCTTTTTTTTTTAAGCAAACTGTAGACTAGTTTCCTAGTTTATCTTCGAGACATTCTCTTCACCCTCCTATGCATAATTCAGAAATCAGAGATTTTATTTTATGGTTGTCCTTTGTACCTACCACCAGAAGGCAGTATTTGTTATAGCTCCCTTTATCTTTGTGACCTTGGACGTACTAATTAACCTTAGGCTCCAGTTGCCTTCCTAAAGTTAATTTTTTGGTAGTTGAAAGATTAACTAGATAATGTAACTCTTACCACTTTGCATTGGTACAAATGTGTGATATGGTCATGCCTTGCTAAATAATGAAATAGGGTCTGGCAGGGGCCTCCTTGGCATTAGACAGTTCTGTTGGTGAACCTTAGAGTTCATTGGCATAGCCAATGCAGTACAGTCCACTCATCCTGTATTTGGTTCATGATTGACCAAAATATGCAAATCATGAAGTGTACATACTTGATTTATTGTAATCCATTTCACTTTTGGCTATTTTATATTGAAATTGGTTATCAGTGTGAGACCGCAGAGGGGGGTTTTTTTGCAATTGAAAATCAAAAACTGGGGGCTGGGTATGGTGACGTACTCCTTTAATCCTAGCACTCAGGAGGCTGAGGCAGACAGATCTCTATGAGTTTGAGACTGACCAGCCAAGGCTGTATAGTGAGACCCTACCCCCAAAAACTAAAAAAGCCATGTTTGGTGTTGCACGCCTTTAGTCCCAGCATGCAGCACTCAGGAGGCAGAGGCAGGTGGATCTTTGAATTCAAGGCCAGCCTTGTCTACAGAGTGCCAGGCCAGCTGGGGCTAAGGGAAATCCTGTCTCAAAAAGACCAAAAAGAGAATGTGTGAAGAGTTAAGTTTTTTGTTAGCATTTGAAAGAGACTTTGAGGGGTTGGCCTGAGGGGCCTTAAACTCAAATCTCATACTTGGACCATGAAGAAACCTTCAACTAAAACATAATTTTCCCCCAATAACTGCCAAATTTGTTAATTTAATATTTTACTGCTTTTTATTTGTGTGTGTGTGTGTGTGTGTGTGTGTGTGTGTGTGTATGCATGTTCACTTGTGTGTCCATGTATGTGGAGGCCCCAGGTTGGGGATCATCCTCACTCTTCGACCTTTATTGAGGCAGGGTATTTAATTCAAACCCTGGGCCCACAGATCAGGCTAGTCTCCCTAGCCAGCTTGCTGTGGGAATCCCCCACCTCTGCTTCCCTAGGGTGGAATTACAGGAGGGACACCGGGCCTACCCAGTATTTTACATGAGTTCTGGGTATCCAAACGCTGATTCTCTTGCTTGCTAGGCAAGCACTTTAACCTCTGAGAGCCATCTCTTCTTCATCTCCAGGATCTCATGTAGGTAGCCCAGGCTGGCCCTCCAGCTAGCAGTAGAGCTAAGGATGACCTTGAGCTCCTGATCGTCCTGCTTCCACTTCCTAAGTTAATTTAATGTTTTAAGTAAAATTTCTCTAGTCAACCCTTTAAACATGATATCATGGCTCCTACATCCTTGCCCTGCGAACTTGAAAGACCTAGAAAGATGAAAACCAAAAAGATGAAAGGTTTTTTTTTTCCTTTTTCTCTTGGTATAGGGTTGGATTTAAGTAGCACTTTGTATTGCCTTCCAACCTTTTCGGCTTCCAGGTTCTCAACCTTACAGGCTTTTGAGGTCCATGTCTGGTCTTAAGCTTTACACTCCCAATAACCCTGTTCTTGAACTTGCTAATGTGCCCCAATCTCATTTCTCGCTATTTCTCCTTCCTAGAATTACCATTATCTAAAAGACTGTTCTTTGGGCCTTGTCTGACCTGATTAATTATTATTAATTGAAAGCCGTCTGATTAAACCAAATTTTTTTTAAAAAGGATGAGCCCCTTTATTTTTTTCTAAATATATAGTGCTTTCTTTAAGCCCATATAACTGAGTGCCAAAAGTAGTGTTAGAAAAAGCTTTTTGTGGGACCAGCCTGGCGTGCCGGTACACGCCTTTAATCCCAGAACTCGGGAGGCAGGGGCAGGCAGATCTCTGTGAGTTTAAGGCCAGCCTGGTCTACATAGTGAATCTCAGGCCAGCTAGGGCTACAGAGAGACCCTGTCTCAAAAAGCCGGGCGTGGTGGCACATGCCTTTAATCCTGGCACTTGGGAGGCAGAGGCTGGCAGAGGCCGGTGGATATCTTAGTTTGAGGCCAGCCTGGTCTATATAGTGAGTTCCAGGCCAGCTGGGGCTACAGGGAAACCCTGTCTCAAAAAGACCAAAAAAAGAAAAAAAGCTTTTTGTGGGAACAGGATCTCATGCAGCTTAGGCTGTTCTCAAACTAGTTATGTAACAAAGGATGACAATGAATTTCTGATCCTCTTGCCTCATCTTCCCAAGTGCAGTGCTAGGATTGTAGGTGTGATCTACCATACCTAATTTATGTGATGCTGACACTGAACCTCCTTAGGGCTTTGTGTATTCTAGGCAAGCATTCAACTGACTGAGCTTCATTCCAACCCAGAAGTAGCTTTGTGGGGGCATTCCCATTGTTACACTTCTCTTTCCTATTCTGGTGCCTTTAGGTTGTATCAAAGCACTGAATAATTGCCAACATTTTGCTTCACTAGCCAGGCATTGTAGTATATATGCTTGTAATTTGGAGGCAGAAAGATCAAAAGTTCAGGGTCATATCTTTATGCAGGAAGTTTGGAGCCAGCTATATAAACAAGAAACCTTTCTCAAACAAGAAACCTACCTAGATGAAAAGGTTATGCTTAAATAGGTAGTAGTGTTGGGGTGCCTATGTAATTTCCCTTGAACAAAGTATAAAGTATGTGGGGGCAAAAGCTGAATGTGGTATAATCCCAGTCTTCACTATATAGGGAGACACTTGTTTCAAAACGACAAAATTGTGTGCGTGTGTGTGTGTGCGTGCGCACATGCAATGTTAAATAACACTGCTTTATCTGAGGGGGGAAAGCATATGGAGGACATGTTCTGAGCTAACAATATGTTCTACCCACTATTTAAAACCATGTGGGAGAGACTGGTTTTGCCCTTGTGGAACAGCTATATATTTATAGTATATATGTTTGGTATTTCAAACAGTTGTTTTATAAAGGTTTGTTTTGTTTTGTGAGACTAGTTCTCACTCTGTGGTTCAGGCTGGCCTCAAACTGTAGACAGTCCTTATTGTGGAAGTTAAAACATGTTCACTTTCAACTAACCCATTTATATACATGTTGTAGTTCATTTGGGACCTGGATTGTGGAGATAGTTTGTCTCTGGGAGATTGGGACTTAGGTAGGCTATGATTTTTTGGGACTAATGGCAGGTATTTCCCTAAAGGCTCAAGTGGTTGTTTAAGGGAGAATTCTTTCATTGATTCTAACAGTCAGTCCATCTCCAGAACTAATTAGTGCATTTTGTCTGCTTGTTTTTCTCCCCTCTTCTTTTTGCATTAAGGATATGTAAGATACATTTAAATATCAGAATGGTCTTGGAAGATACAGTGCTGAGAGGTTCTGTGTTTTGCTTTTGTCTTAAGCTGGGTGTGATGGCACACACCTTAATCCCAGCCTTTAGGAAGCAGAGGCAGAAGGTCCCAGAATTCATGGTCATTCTCAACTGCATAGTGAGTTTGTGGCTAGCCTGGGCTACATGAGACCCTGCCTCAAACAAACAAAAAATGAGAAACTATGGGGCTGGAGAGATGGCTCAGCGGTTAAGAGCGAGCACTCACTGACTGCTCTTGCAGAGGACCAGGTTCAATTCCCAGCACCCACATGGTGGCTAACAACCATCTATAACTCCAGTTCCAGGGGATCCAACACCGTCTTTTGACCTCTGCTGGCATTTCATGACATGGGTGTACCTACCTACATGCAGGCAATACACTCATACACATAAAATAAAAATAATAAGGGGCTGGAGAGATGGCTCAGCAGTTACGAGCACTGACTGCTCTTGCAGAGGACCTGGGTTCGATTCCCAGCACCCACATGAAGGCTATGAACCATCCTTAACTCTAGTTCCAGGGGAATCTGAAGCCCTCTTCTGACCTCCATGGCATTGCACAACACGGTGCACTCACATACATGAAGGCAATGTGCTCATACACATAAAAATATTAAAAAATAATAAAATATTTTTAAATGAGAAATTATAACAAGCTTATCTAATATATAGTAAGAATACAATTCTAAAAATTATGGCTTCCATTAATAGAAGAGCTATTAGATCATTTTAATTTATTTAGGTATTAGAGGTTGAACCCAGGCCTCTTACATGCTAAACATGATCCTTAAAACTGGGCAACACTCCCAGTCCTAACTTGGAATGTAATGGAAAGCATATTTTTTAAAGCCCATCAATAATGAGTATAATTATGAATTTACTAAAGAACTACAGTACACCTCCCCCCCTTTTTTTGAGAACAGTCTTTTTTTTTAATTTTTATTATAATTTTTTTATGTGTATGGTATACATGTGTATTGCCTACATGTAAGTACACCCATGTCATGCAATGTCTGGGGAGGACAGAAGAGGCCATTGGATCCCCTGGAACTGGAGTTACAAACAGTTGTTAGCTGCTATGTGGGTGCTGGGATTTGAACATGGGACTTCCACAAGAACAACCAATGTTCTTAACCGCTGAGCCATCTCTCCAGCCCCAGAGAACAGAGTTTTTTTAACAATTGTTTAAAACTCTTATTACTGTTTAAGTATAGACATGTGCTTATGTGTGCTTGAGGAGGGTCAGAGGACAACTTTGTAGGCTCTCAGCAATTGGGAGGGAAAGGCAAGCAGGTGGAGGACCTGTCTCAAAAAGATCAAAAAAAAAAAAAAAAAAGCAACTTTGTAGGTTCCCTTCTTCCCACCTTTATGTGGGTTCTGGCCTTCAGCTCAGGTCATAAGGCTTGTGTGACAATTGCTTTTACCCACTGAGCTATCTTGCTAGCCTGAGACAGGGTCTTACTCTGTAACCCAGGCTGACCTCAATCCTCCTGTGTAAATTTTCAGAGTGTTGGGATTGTAGGAATGTGCTATCACACCGAGATACATAATGCTATTTGTTTTGCTTGGTTTTCTTTGCCTAGTATTTAAGATATCTTTTGTTTTGTTTTTTGAGACAATCTCACTCTGCAGCTTGGGCTGTACCTAGAACTCACTATAGTCCAGGCTGGCCTTGAAATCGTAACAATTTTCCTGCCTTAGCCTCCCAAATGCCAGAGTGACAGGGTGAGCCACTGTGCCTGGTTCATGGTCTTTCTATATAAACAGATTTATTTCAAAATATTATAGGTGACTTACTGAATTTTTTTCTGCTAGATTATGTATCATTGATTCAAAATTTATTGCAAACATGGTGATATAACTAAAGAGGCTAAGGCAGGAGGATCTCAAGTTTGAGGTCAGCCTAGGCAACATAGCAAGGTCTGCCTCAAAAAGTGAACAGAGGGGCTGGAGAGATGGCTCAGTGGTTAAGAGCACTGGCTGCTCTTCCAGAGCACCCAAGTTTGATTCCCACATGGCAACTAACAAGGGTCTAACTCCAGTTCCAGGGAATTTGCCACCCTCTTCTGGCCTCCAAGGACTAGTGTGACACAGGTGCACTTACATACATGCAGGCAATGCTCACATAAAATAAAAATAATAAAAAAATTTTTTAAGTGAACAAAAAATGTGTTAGATAATATATGCCAAGTGCTGTTTGTATATTTTGTTTGCTTCTGTTTTTCTCTATTCTGTTAATTGTTGCTTAGTGATGGGATTTAGCATTAAATTTTCAGAATCATCTTAGGCTGTTGAAGTCATTGCACTTTTCCTTTGCAGCTGTCCAGTCAGCTCGCTGCTATTCTCATGGGTCACATGAGACAGATGAGGAGTTTGATGCTCGCTGGGTCACATACTTCAACAAGCCAGACATAGATGCCTGGGAATTGCGTAAAGGTAATTGGAATATAAGCATATATGTCTGTTTTGGTATGTAAATATGAACTACTTTCCCTTTGTTGAAAATAACTAGTTCGTTTTTGTTTTGTTTTATTTTTTGGTCTTTTTGAGACAGGGTCTCCCTGTAGCCCCAGCTGTCCTGGAACTCACTATGTAGACCAGGCTGGCCTTGAACTCACAGAGATCTGCCTGCCTCTGCCTCCCGAGTGCTGGGATTAAAGGCGTGTGCCACCATGCCTGGCTTGAAAATAACTAGTATAAAAACACATTGTGAGTTGGTTAATGTCATGCAACTTGAAGTTAGGAAAGCTTACAACTTCTGTGATATTTCTGCAAAATTAGAATTTTAAAGCAGGACTGGGGGTATAGCTCATGTATAGAGTGCTTTCCTAGCATGCAAAGGCCCTGGGTTTGATCCCTGGCACTGGGGAAGAAGAAAAAATAAATAGGGAAGGAAGGAGGAAGGGAACGCATACACACTGTTGACATTTGAGCTGGATAATTCATTGTAGGGGGTTGTCCTTTGCACTGGAGGGTATTTAGCAGAAAACTTGGCCTCTGCCTACTAGATAACACATACTATAGTTAAAGGGGACAAAAAAAGTCTCGGGATACTATGCAGTATGCACTGAATGACAGAATTACCCCAATTGAAAACTGCTGCTAGAGAAATGGGGCTAGCTGAGCAGAATTAATAGTCTTCTGCCTTTCAGATAATTTACACAGCAGTAATTTGGTTCATTTCCCCTCTGGTTAGTGGTTTGAGGTTTTTGTTTTATTAGTTATGAGTTGCCGATGTTCTAACGTGGGTAAGTATCATTGATGATAGCTAGTCATTAATTGTAAAGTATACTATAAATAATCACAGATCAAGAATTCAGTATCTTGGCCCTATGGCTGTTGGTATGATTGTATTGTCATGTGTTCTTTGTTTAAATATTTTACAGTAAAAGCAAGAAACCTAAGTGCTTTAAATGGCTCTGCTGGAATGGGAATGTAATGACCCCATTTTGCTGCAACCAAGAAAGTTCTTACTACTGAATAATCTGAAAATCTTACTGATGTATGAAAAGAACAGCAATTCTGCCTTCTCATTAAGAGTCTTCAAGTTTATGATGTGTCATTTTGTGCAGACACAAAAGTAGTCATGCCCAGTCATTTTCTGGTTGAATGTTTATGAGTCTTTACACTAAAATGTTTTTCTGTGATACCCCCTTAATGTCCTCAATTGGGCTTCATCGACTCCTTGGGCATTGAGTTTCTAATAGGATCTGTTTTAAAGCATCAGAAATACCTATGCTATATTTTAAAATATTTGTTATTTTATTTTATGTGTGTGAGTGTATTGCCTGCATGCATGTGAGTGCACCTGTGTTGTGCAATGCTTCAGAAGTCAGAAGAGGGCTTCGGATTCCCCTGGAACTGGAGTTAAGGATGGTTCGTAGCCGTCATGTGGGCGCTGGGACTCAAACCCCGTCCTCTGTGAGAGCAGTCAGTACTCTTAACCACTGAGCCATCTCTCTAGCCCCAATACCTACGCTATATTAAGAGTTAAGCTTATAAGTTGGAAGTGACTCGTTTGAAGATAAATTCACTGATTATTTTGAAAATAATGTTTGTGCTTAGAAAGCTCTAGGATTTTCCTTTAGTCTGCATGCTGTTACATTATTCTACTAATTCATTGTGGAAGATCACTGTGTTCTTATCATGGAGAGTTTGTTCTACATCGATTCTCATTTTACAGAGAATAGAGGTCCAAACAGATGAGGTCACATACCCCTGATCAGTAAGAATGTAGGTAACTAAGCTGTTGAAACAAAACAAAAAGTAGATAACTAAATTTTAGCTTAAGAATATTTTAGGTTAATGTGACTGTTTTTTTTTTTTTAATTTGACAGGAATGAACACACTTGTTGGCTATGATCTGGTTCCTGAGCCCAAAATCATCGATGCTGCTTTGCGGGCATGCAGACGGTTAAATGATTTTGCTAGTGCTGTTCGCATCCTAGAGGTTGTTAAGGTTTGTGAAATAACAGTGCTAAAATTGTTTCAGAAGTAGGTGGGCCATATCACTTACCAGCATATTGTTTTTGAACTTCCTAAAACACCTAAAATTAAATCAGATGTGGTATTGCACACCTGTAATTATACTTAGGAGACTGAGGCACAGGATTGAGAGTTCGGTGCCAGCCTGGGCTACAAAAGGGAGACCCTGTCTATAAACAAACAAAACCCTAAAGTTTGTGGGTTTTATTATCTTTTGTGTACTTATTTTGAGACAGTCTCATTGTGTAGCCAAGGCTCCAAGGCTAACCTTGAACTCCCGATCCTCTTGTATGCCACTATTACAGGTATGGACCACCACACACAGTTCAATTAATATACATTAATTGTGCAAAACAGTGGGTTTCAGTGTGACATTTTCATATATGCATATTATCTACTTTAATCAATGTAACTCCCCCCCAGTTTTATACCTCCTATACCTTGATCCTAGCAGTCTAAAATTTTTCTGTATTTGTGTGCACTTCCAGTAAGTGTGTCTATCTGTCCTTGCGTTGTCAATCTTCACGTTGTTTGAGACAGTCTTCCCCTCACCCCCTCTCTCATTGAGACAAGGTCTCACTATGTAGCCCTGGCTGGCCTGGAACTCCCAAGAGTTGGAATTAAAGGCATATGCCACCACACTCATCATAAGACAGGGTCTCTTTCATTTTCTCTGCTGCATAGGCCAGGCTACCTGGCCCATGAGCTTCTGGGGACTTTCCTATCTCCACCTTCCATCTTAATGGAGAGTCACTGGGATTACAGACACCTCACACTTCTGCACTTGGCTTTACATGAGTTCTGGGGAATTAAACTGAGGCTCTCACACCTGTGCAACAAGCAATATACCCACTGAGTCATCTCCCCAGTCCCTAAAATTGTTAACTAACTAGAAGGAATGTTCTTTACGGTTACAAGTTATCCAATACGTTAAAAAGTGTAAGGGCTGGAGAAATGGCTTAACCATTAAGAGCAGAAGACTGGTGCTGAATCCCAGCTTCCACATGGCGGCAAACAAACATCTAAAACTCCAGTTCTAGGGATTGCGACATCCTCTTCTGTCCTCCTTGTGCACTACATGACACTGGTACACGTAGATACATGCAGCATAACACATACACATAAAAGTAATTTTTTAACTGTACATGAGGGGCTGGGAGGAAGGCTCAGTGGGTAGAGAACCTGAGTTGAAATCCCCAGCACATCTAAAAATGCCAGGCATGGTTCTAAGTGCCTGTAACCCAAACACTGGGGAACAGAGACAAATAGATCTCAAAGAGCTTGCAGGGCAACCAGCCTAACCAAAATGGTGAACTTCTGGTTCATTAAGAGACTGTCTCAAGCCGGGCGTGGTGGCGCACGCCTGTAGTCCCAGCACTTGGGAGGCAGAGGCAGGAGGATCTCTGTGAGCTCAAGGCCAGCCTGGTCTACATAGTGAGTTCCAGGACAGCTGGGGCTACAGGGAGACCCTGCTTCAAAGAGACAAAAAAAAAAAAAAAAAAAAAAAAAAAAGAGACTGTCTCAAGGAAATAAGGCAGACAGCAATAGAGGAAGACATTCAAGGTCCTGGTCTGACCTTTGCACAAATATATCCTCTAAAGTTTAAGGTTTTTAAGGGGAAAAAATGACATTACTTTATAATGAGTAAGAATTACGGGTTCTGTAACCTATCAATCTATTCAGCACTAATAGTTAATTCAGTTAGGTTCTTAAATTGGAGGCAAATTAAAATCTTCCCTTGTGTTAATTTAATTTTTCCTGTTGCCTGATGGACATGTTTAATTACCTTTATGAAAATCTGTCATCACTGCCTTGAACTTCTAATTCTCCTGCCTTTACTTCTGGAGTGCTAGGATCACAGGTTTGTACCACCATACTTGGGTATGCGGGGTTCTGGGAATTGAACACAGGGCTTCCTGAATGCGAGGTGAACACTACTGAGTTGTATCCCCAACCCTGCTGCATATGTAACTAAAAACTCTTTCAGTTTTATTTTGTTAATAGTGATTGTTCTGTTTTTGACACAGGATAAAGCAGGACCTCATAAGGAAATCTACCCCTATGTCATCCAGGAACTTAGACCAACTTTGAATGAACTGGGAATCTCTACTCCAGAGGAACTGGGCCTCGACAAAGTGTAAACTCCCCTTGGTAAGCAGCAGCACATCTCTGACCAAGGCAGAGAAGAATACATGAAGTGGTGGGTTGATGACAGCACTTGCTAGAGGATCTATGTAGCCATGACCACAGAGATTTAGAGAATAATGGGACGATGTTGATGATGATAAATTAAGGAACTGTGGGGTTTTATTATTAATTTACATATGTGTTGGTGTATGTTTGTGAGCATGTATGTATCATAGTGCATGTGTGGAAGTCAGGACATTTTGGGGAAGTCTGTTCTCTAATCTTTGGGTCCTGGGGATCAAACTTAGGTTGTCAGACTTGGCAGCAAGTGCCTTTACCTGCTGAGCCACTTCATAGTCCCTGAAATTGTATCTTAATTGTTTCCATTGTTCTGAGTGCTGGGATTACAGATATGCATTACTACACTTGGATCCAAACCCTTTTCTGATTGGAAAAGAAATATCAGTGGTACTTGCAAATAATGAAAGGACCACCAAGCTAGTCCCCTGTTCCTTGCTAATTCTTTGTGTTTTCTCTTGCAGATGGACTTCCTAAGGACCTATTGCTGTTGCTACTTGATTAAAACAGTCACCTGGAAATACTTTATTTGAACAAATTTTCCTCTGAGTATCAAACCTTGTCATGGTAACTTGGACTTTAATAAAAGGGAAATGAGTTTGAACTGAAACTAGGTATTCTGTTTTGTTTCCCTTGAGGAGCAGAAGGTGCAGTGCTTTGGGACAATTGAGGTCCTAGTTTTGTTGCCTCTTTACATGCTGAGAGAGCTATTTTATTTCCCTGGAAACCAACAGTCGTATAACATGGCTTCATCAAAAATATTTGAGTGCTTTGACTGGTAAATTGGCTGAAAGCTAGTTATAAAAATATGTCGTATTGCAAGCACCCTGGCCTTAGGAGACTATAAGAGTAGATCAAATTGCCGGGCGTGGTGGTGCATGCCTTTAATCCCAGCAGAGGCAAGTGGATCTGTGTGAGTTCAAGTGCAGCCTGGTCTACATAGTGAGTTCCAGGACAACTGGGGCTACAGGGAGACCCTGTCTCAAAAAGAAAAAAAAAAAAAAAAAAAAAGTAGATCAAATTGTGCTTTCAAAATTGACTGGTAAAAAAATAATTTAAAAGTAATCTTCGAAAATCAGACATGGTGGTGCATGCCAATAATCCTAACATCCAGCACTGATGGGTGGAGGCGGGAGGATCAGAAAGGTCACTCTCAGCTGCATGGCAAATTTGAGTACAGACTGGGTTATATAGTAAATTTCAATGTCATTCAGGTAGTCTGGATAAGCTACATCGTAGCCAGCCCCACTCATACCCAGTGCTTCTCTTGGTGCCCAGTCCCTTCTCTGCCTGTTCTTCCCTAGCAGCATGGTATTAGCCTCAGACCTCATTTGCTGTGGTTGATTTGTGAAGAATGGAGTAAATGGGCTTGCCTCTTGAGAGAACCAAGAAACCTTAAATCCTGTTTAACTTTAGAAATCCTATAGTGCTGGAATGTACCTTTCTGGATAATGTGATTCTAGGTCTAGGTAAGGGTGGTATAATCTGTCAGATTGCTATAATAGGAGAACAGAATCAATAGTAACATTTAGATGCCTGGTCTCCTAAAGCCATGTCAGGAGTTGTTAGTAAAGTAAGTTTTGGTGAGGTTGATTTTTTTTTTGGGGGGGGGGGTGTCTTTTGAGATATGAACTGCATCCCTGGCCCACTTAGGTGGGTTTGCGGGTGGGAGGTTGTTTTGTCTTTGTCTTTTTGAGACAGGGTCTCCCTATAGAAGTGGAAGTCCCTGTGAAACTATGTGGACCCAGTTGGCTTCCATCTCACAGGATCCACCTGCCTCTGTCTCCTGAGTGCTGAGATTAAAGGCCTGTACTACCATACCCAGCGTTAGACAAGGTTTTAACATCAGTCACCTTTGAATAGTTTGATCTCCTACCAAAAGCCTCTTTACTCCCTTGTTTAAGATGGAGATAGGGTTTCACCACATAGCCTTAGCTAGCCTCAAACTCCTAGAGACCCACCTGCATATATATATATTTTTTTTTTTTTGGTCTTTTTGAGACAGGATCTCCCTGTAGCTCCAGCTGCCTGGAACTCACTCTGTAGACCAGGCAGGCCTCAAACTCACAGAGGATCTGCCTGCCTCTGCCTCCCGAGTGCTGGGATTAAAAGCATGTGCTACCACGCCTGGCATTCATTTATTTATATTATGTGTATGAGTGTATTGCCTGTATATATATATAAGCACATCCATGTTGTGCAATGCCTACAGAGGTCAGAAGAGGGCATTGGATCCTCTGGAACTGGAATTACAGACAGTTGTTAGTCCTCATGTTGTTACTAGGAACCAAACCTGGGTCCTCTACAAGAGCAACCAGTGTTCTTTAACGCTGAGCCATCTCTCTAGCCCAAGATCAGCCGTAAAGGCTTGTGCCACCATGCAGGAGTATGATTATGGGTATGTATACATGTGTGCAGAGGCCAGAAGAAGGTATTAGATCCCCTGGAGCTGGAGTTACAGGCAGTTGTGAGCCACCCAACATGAGTGCTGGGAACCAAATTTGGGTCCTCTGGAAGAGCAACAAGTGCTCTTAAACCATTGAGCCATTTCTTTAGACCCAATGGATATTAAACAGGACAACTATTTAATATATATAGATTTTGAAAGTTCTGTGAAAAAAAATATGTATATATATGGGTACTATGAGGAACTAGAAGGCATTTAAGGAAGTGACATTTTAGTTAAAGCCTTGAGAATTGGGGTAGGGTCTTAATCCTAGATCCCACAAGTAATTTTACTTATTCTGTCAATGTGTTTGCTCTTTTCACCTCTGAGAGAAGGGATTTTTTTTTTTCCTTGCAGCTCTTGTTTAAATCTGCTCCAGTTACCAAGAAAGGATTTATTATAATTATCTGAGGACCATATTATGACATAAAAGTGAGGGTGAGGGGAGCGTACTCAAGCTGTCCTATAGCTGAGGATGACCTTGAACTCCTACTAATCCCCTTGCTTCTACCTCCCATACCTAGCTAGGCTCTTAATATAGAAGAATGTAAATGCTGTGGTCTCATGGTCATGGGAGGGAGCATAGCTTCATAGCTGTCTACCAGCCTCTACCAGGATGAGCTGGTGTTTGGGCTACAAACATTCATTAAATATCTACTTGTATACCAAACATGCCAACACTGGTGATAGAGCAATGAACAGGAGGGAGGTAGAAAAAAGGGAAGTTGGGACCAGACATGGGTTTTTTTTGTGGGGGCGGGGTCTTTTTGAGACATAGAGGCATAGAGGTCCACCTGCCTCTGCCTCCCCAATGCTGGGATTAAAGGCATGTGCCATCTTGCCTGGCTTGGACCAGGCATGTTAAAGGCACTTGCCACCAAGCCTGACTACCTGAGTTTGATCCCTGAAATTCACATGGTAGAAAGAGAAAACTGACTCACTAAAGTGGTCCTCTGACTTATACACACAGAAATAATCTAATTGAAAAATTTAAAAAGAGGCCAGTGGTGGAGTTGTACCCCTTTAATTCTTTCCAGCATTCAGGAGGCAGAGGCAGGCTGTGAACTCTGAGTTCAAGGCCAGCTGGGGCTACAGGGAGACCCTGTCTCAAAAAAAGAAGTTGGGGGACAGTAGCTTAATAAGGATGTTGGATTATAATGGCAGCAGTAGACATGCAAAGAATTTTGAGAGTCATTATTGAGCTGTAGTTGGTTGGATGAGGAATGTGAACTCTGAAAGAAACTATCTTAGATTGAAATGATGATGCCATCAAAGGAAAAGAGTCATCAGCAAAATAGGAGCTTGGTGCATGTTAGAGAAATTTGATTTTGGACTGTTAGGTTTCAAGTATCTGGGCATGGAGGCCTTAAGCTCTGTAAAGAGTGAAACTAGTGAGAATTTAAGGTGTGAAACAGGCTGAAGGCTGACAGTAGAAAGAGGGAGGGTATCCTTACACTGCAGACCACTGACTGGTAGGGTGGTTTTATAATAAATATCCATGTATCACACTTTTGCATATTTTTGTTTTTTGTCCCTTCACCCCAGCTCCAAATATTACTAATCAACTATTAAAAAATGAGCTTCCAGGCTGGTTAGATGGCTCAGTGGGTAAGGGTGCTTGCCACCAAGCAAGACCACCTGAGTTCAAGCCACAAAACCCACATGGAGAAAGGAGAGAATGATTCCCAAAGGTTGCCCTGACTTCAACATACACAATAATAATTTTTTTTAAATTTTTTTTGGTTTTGATTTTTTTTTTTTTTTTTTGAGGCAGTGTCTCAATAATGTAGCCCATGTCTGGCCTAGAGCTTGCTTTGTAGACCAGGCTGACCTCAAACTGACAGAGATCCACCTGTCTCTGCCTCCTGAGTGCTAGAATTAAGGGGTGTGCCTCCACCACTGGCCCCTAACTTTTTAAAGTTTTCAATTAGATTTATTTTCTGTATGTGAGTGTAGGTCAGAGGACCACTTTAGTGAGTCCATTCTCTTCTCTCTACCATGTGAATCCCAGGGATCAAACTTAGGTAGTCAGGCATGGTGGCAAGTACCTTTAACTGGCTGGGCCAGTCTTATCCTAGCTTTGTATTACACCTTCCTACCAGATGATGGCAAGCAGCAGACTGTAAGGTGGGAAATGAGGCTTGGATTCTGACCTGTGTTCATATCCCCTCTACCACAGCACTGTCACAGGAAAAAATTACAATGTAGTTGAGATTGTGTTGCCAGGGATCTCCTTATACATACCAAGCAAGTGCTTCACTGATGAGGTACATCCTTGGTTGCTCCACATCCTAAAATTAAGGAACATTTCATACCATTGCTCATAATGAACTGACCAGGGGAGCTTGGTTTTCTACACAAAAGGTCTGAAGAAAGCAAAAATGGAGTAGTCATTTAAATTGCTTTCCTTACAGTCAGGGGAGACACATGCATACACACACACGCACACGCACACACACACACACACTAATACAAGTAATTTCAGGTTGAAGTTGAAAGGATGGAGGTGG